GAACTTGGCGCGAAACACTACCGTCTGTTCTTTCTCCTGCGAGACAACACGGCAAATATTAATTGACATACAAACAACTTCTCTACTTAAAAAAACGAAATTTAACGTCAGCCACATATTATACTAAAAAAGTGTTAACTACTGTTATATTAAANTATCAAAAGCAAGAATAAACACACATAATGATTTAAATAAAATTACGGTTTTTATTTTGTAGGAGCCGTATATATTTATTACANTATATTATAAAAATCAAAGTTTTTTGAATAAATATTGTTTATAGCAAATCTTACATAATTTGTTAATACGNCATATGATACCAAGAATATTAGCCAGATGTTAGTTTCGTTTTTTATTGTCAAGGATAAATCAGTAAAACTTTGTTACTATTTTTAATATTACTGACAATCTAAGTATTACTAAGTACTGAAAAGTTTAACAGATGTTTTCTCAGTATTTTGCCACATTTCCATCTCGTTTTGCACCATTATCTGTCTCACTACTTGACGTCTTCTTCTGTAAACATTATACACATTGCAATAAACACTGCTTTGTAAATANANNTAATNTAAACNNTATACACANTGNAATNANTACTACTTTGTAAATAAAATAAATAAATCATTGTATNCTNCTNTTTACTATTNCTTCCTAACNNGAAGGCATTTATANNAGACTCAAAAAATTGATTAAAACACAATGATTTAAAAACATTTTGCGTAACANTTTCNAAGNCTAAGAGTCTTTAATTGGTAATTTAAAACATATGCATTTACATTTATATANTATCATTTTTTTAAAAGATACATAACATACACTACCTTCGATAGATATAAAAAATAACAGTAGCAATTATGATGAACAATAATATTGGAAGTAACCACAATTCGTTAGCCATTGAATCTGAAACATTTCCTATGCAAAGTCAGACAAGAATAATGATTTTATTTTTATCATCTTGCTTGAAATATACCTATTATAGTACACTGACTATAAATACATAAAGAAAGTATGCCTATATGTATAACTACAAAACAATATTTTTTACATGAATCAGTTAGAACATACAGATGCAGGATGTGATTAGAAAATAAGAATGTGGGATAGGTCAAAGAAAAAATTTAATATGGTGACAAATATGAAGTAATTTGTGCACATAGTTAAATAGAAAGTAATACTTAATATTACGTACACTTTTGTTGTGATTGTTTTGCAAAGTCGCAAAAATAATGCAGTGTACGTGTTTTACGCAAGCGTGTAAGGATACCTACACAAGAAAAAAAATATCGAGACTTACGTTTGCAATCAGTTTTTACAGTTTGCCAGTTGCTTTCCATTATTACATTTTCTGCAAGTAATGTGCATTTAACTGAATAAACAGAACCAGGATTCAAATGAGTAAAATAACCTATCAAATGTGTCATATTTTGAAACAGTCTATTCCATGATTGTGTAAAAGTGTAATTATTTTCTCCCTGTAAAAAAAAATAACAAAACATTTATTTCATTTTTTTTCTTTCGAATGTGTAGAACAATGGTAAAACTTATAAATCTTAGATTAAAAAACAATGTTTTTGGTACTTTGATACTAAAGTATCATAAAAAAAAACTACTTTTTCGATTAGTATAAAAGAAATTAGGAAGAAATTATTATTTACCGTAAGAGTGAAGAAATACTTTATTGTTATTTGTTCG